TTGCTGCCTCGATCTGATAGAGGCAGCAAGGTGTGGGGGAAGCGACTATACGCTGCCCCCAACTTGCGATGCGATTGGTTCCGGGAATAGCGTTGCAAGTTGGGGGTGTTGTAACTCGAGCCCACATTTACGAAAGGTGTCATACGCCATCGTAATTGCGGGGCCAAGGATGTAAATCGGGGGATTTTGGCCCCTTCCGCACTTACAGAAAAGGTCATAAGTGCGGGGGATCGTAAATCAGGCTGTCATAAAGCGGGGGCCTCCTGTAGTCGACTATCCTGTCAACTATCTGATAAGCATTTCCTTATCTAGAGACTTTCATAAAAAAAACAAGCTTCCACACAAACTTCCATGTGGCTGGACATTACAAAAACTAGACAAGCCACTTACAATGCTCATTCCACTTCCCTACAGAAGAAAAAGGCCAATAAACTATCTAAATTCCTACACGCCACAGGGTACTACTACTCCGGTACCCTCAACTCACCTAACATTGTTAATCCATCCAACCACACACTGAGCCGGGCAGAAGAGTCTGTGGTATCTTGGGGACTCTCTGCCTCACCACCCCCACAAACATGATACAGTTCTGCAGTGACCTGGAAGCCTATTTTCGCTGACTCTGACTAGGGATGCTAAATTTCAATTAATTAACTGATTGAATAGTCGATGGGATTTCCATTGACTTTTCGTCGATAAGGGTGCCTCCGTCTTTCAACGGTAGCAAGAACCCTGCTGGGGCTCTTGTACAGTTCAAAAGCAGAATTGCAGAAGAACCAGTGTGAGTGGAGATTACTTCATTCCCCACTCACACTGTTTCCTGCTGTGCCTCTACCTCCCCTGTTCCCTGTGGAGACAGTGCTGGGGGAAACCAGCTTTTAAGCCGGCTCCCCCCAGCACGGCTCCTGCTCCCTTCCCTCACTGCCTCTCTCTGACAGAGGCAGCAAGGAGGGGAAGCAACTAGTCACGTCACTAGTTGACTATCCGGTAAGCTTATGCTTATGGGATAGTCAACTAGTCACTTACATCCCTACCTCTGACTGAAGGAATATTTCCAACACATCACTGAACATTGCATTGACCCACAGGATCCCTTCTACCAACCCTACATGAAGATTTCTACATGGAAGATGGTCGAAATGACATTCTGGACTTCTATACTGATTGCTGCCACAAACGTGCACAGCATTGTGAACAAACAACATCACATGACACACAACCTCAGCCATGCTGGATGCAATGCTCTCCATGGCCTCAAAAATAACTCTGACATTATAATCAAGGAGGCTGACGGGGGCGGTGGGGAAGAGGGGACTGTAGTCATTATGACAAGTCAGATTTCAAACAGGAGGTTGCCAGACAACTTGCCCACACTACATTCTACGGGCTTCTTTCTTTTGATCCCTCTGAGGAATCTCAAAAGAAACTATACCATCTGCTCAAGAAACTCCCTGCTACTGCTCAGGACCAAATCTACACCAACACCCTCCCAGAGCCCCAACCAGGGGTATTTTCTCTACTTCCCAAGATCCATAAACCTGGAAATCCCGGATGTACCATCATCTCAGGCATTGGCACCATTACTGCAGGATTATCCAGCTATGTTGACTCTCTCCTCAGACTCTATGCTACCAGCACTCCTAGCTATCTTCGAGACACCACTGACTGTCTGAGGAAACGACAGAGCATCAGTAATCTTCCTGAAAATACTATCCTGGCCCCCATCGATGTAGAAGCTCTTTACACCAACATTTCACATGAGGGTGGGCTACAAACGGTCAGGAACATGATCCTCGATGATGCCACAGCACACCTGGCAGCTGAGCTATGTGGCTTTGTCCTCACCCACAACTATTTCCGATTTGGGGACAATTTATACCTTCAAGTCAGTGGCACTGCTAAGGGTACACACAATATGCCAACATCTTTATGGCTGGCCTAGAACAACATTTCCTCAGCTAGCACCCTTCCTCTACTTACACTGCATTGATGGTATCTTCATCATATGGACCCACAGGAAGGAGACACTTGAAGGGATTTCAACAATTTCCACCCCACTATTGACTTCAGCCTGGACCAGTCCTCACAAGAGATCCACTTCCTTGACACTACAGTACACATAAATGCTGGTCACATAAACACTCTGCTGGAAACCTACTGACTATTGTTCTTACCTACATGCTTCTAACTTCCATCCAGGTCATATCACACGATCAGTTGTCTACAGCCAAGCCCTAAAATACAACCAGATTTGCTCTAAATCCCACAGAGACAAACATCTATATGATCTTTATCGAGCATTCTTAAAGCTTAAATATCCACCCGGGGAAGTGAGGAAACAGATTGACAGAGCCCAGACAAGTACCTGGAAGTCACCTACTTCAGACCCAATAAGGAAATTAACAGAACATCTCTGGTCATCACCTACAGCCCCCAGTTTAAACCCCTCCAGTGCACGAATGACAATCTAAGGATGTTAAATTGCACTTACTGACTAGTCGAGTAGTTGATGGAATTTCCATTGACTATTTGATTAGTCAATAGGCACGTCTGCATTCCTCCTTGGAAATGTACAAGAGCCCCTACTGGGGCTCTTGTACATTTCCAAGGAGGAATGCAGACGTGCCTATTGACTAATCAAATAGTCAATGGAAATTCCATCAACTCTTGTGCATTTCAAAGCTGCACAGCATGGAGCTTGCTCACCCTGGGCTCCATGCTGTGCTGCCGATTTGAAATGCGGTACGAAGCCCGAGTTCAGCTGGGGACTCCCCAGCTGACCCCGGGCTCCCCGTGGCATTTCAGTGGAACCTGGGATCAGCTGGGGAGTCCCCAGCTCCACAGTGCCACCTTGAAACACCGCCTTGGCATTTCAAAGGGGCAATGCCACACAGCTGAGCCTGGGCTCAGCTGCGCACGGCTGCCCCTTTGAAGAAACCCTTTTTTCCTCCGTTGCTGCCTCTATCTGATAGAGGCAGCAAGTGGGGGGAAGTGACTAGTCCACTCGACTATTCAATAAGCTTTTGCTTATTAGATAGTTGACTAGTTGACTAGCCTGGCACATCCTCCTGACAATCTACAACCTATTTTGGGAAAACAATCCCTTGCTCTCATAGATCTTGGGAGACAGGTAATCCTCCCGTACAGACAACCTCCTGCTATCTGAAGCAAATACTTACGAGCAGTCACACACCACACCTCAGATACATTCACCCAGGAGCCTCCCCTTGCAACAAACCCCGCTGCCAACTCTGTCCACATATCTATACAAGGAACATCATCACAACACCTAACCATATCAGGGCTCATACAACTGCATATCCATAAATATGATATATGTCATCAAGGACCAGCCATGCCCCTCTGCCATGTATATTGGCCAAACCAGACAGTCTCTGCGACAAAGGATAAATGGACACAAATCAGACATCAGGAATGTAGGGGAACATTATAAGCCTGGACATTCAATCATGGATTTACAAGTAGCCATTCTTCTACAAAGGAATTGTATCACCCATTTGCAGAGAGAGTCTGCTGAACTGGAATTCATTTACAAATCAGACATTGTCAACCTGGCTTGAATAAAGATCTTAATTGGTTAATGCACTATAAAGCCAGTTTCCCCTGCCTTTGATATTTGCATTTTCACATCTAAAGCTATGAATGGGCCACATTTAGTCTACTTAATTAGCTTCATTAACACAGGCCCTACAATTGACAGGTAACTACTTTTGCTGTTATTATCTTGTATTCTGTTATTTCCACTCCAAGTCATCTGATGAAGTGGGTTTTACCCACAAAAGCTCATGATCCTATATATTTTTGTTAGTCTCTAAGTTGCCACAGGACTAGTCATTGTTTTTAAAAATTATAATGAGTTTATCCTACCACCCCCTCGTGAAGGATGGACATATTCTCCCCATTTTACATTTAGCAAATAAATGTGTGTATTTTGCCACTAAAACAATACAAAAGAGTGGAGTAAGCTCAATGGCAGAGCCAGGAACAAAGTTCACATCAGCTGACTCATGTTACTCCCATGGTTTTATTTTACAGGGCAATATTTCTGGTACTCTTTGACGGGAATTTACAACCAAGAACCACATTTGTAAATGTATTTAGGTGCCTAAATATACAGATAAGCACCAAGTGGGAGTTTACAAAAGGACCTAAGCATCTAACTCCAATGGGAGTCAGGTGCTTTTGTAAATCCTTGTAGGATTTACAAAAGAACCTGAGTCTTTAAGCGCCTAAATACATCTTTTTAAAAATCTGGTCCCAAGAAGCTGTGTAGGTCTTAAAGTTTGGCCATGTCTGTATTGGCTGTATTTTTGGTAGTAAATTTCTCTTCTACCGGTACACATGCATAAAAACTAAATTAAAACAGAGTCTATATTCCCTGGGTTGGCTTTGCTTTCACAACGTCCAGGGTTCCTGGGTGTGCTTTGCTGCATGAATTGCCTGGCCGAGTTTATTTTATGTACATGCTGGAACTTGACTTCCAGGGAGCTTGCGCTGCGCAAACAAGTTGTTTGAATGAGACCTGGTCTAAGCTCCTGTCTGTTTTATGTTATCTGTCTGTCTGCATAGCGGAGCGCTCCTAACCGCGGCTCCCCTCCCTCCTCCGGCTCCATTAATGACCCTACAGCAGTTTTCCTAAGAGTTGGATTTTGTCCCACGGCCCTTTGCTACAAACTCCTCCCCTCTCGCACTGCTGCTCAGGGGCTGCTACCACCTACTCCTCAGAGAGGTGGCCGCGTTCCGCACAGAGGGGGGCGCTCTCCCGCACCGAACGCTGCGCCTCCCGGCCCGTCCCTTGCGAGCGGGGCCGGGCCGGCAAAAGCGGCCCGGGGAGCGCGCGCGCACTGGATGCGGGAGGGGCCGCAAGAAACCTGCGCGCCACGTGGGTCGGGTTAGGGCCGGGCCAGCCGCGGGCCCGGCTGCGGGACCCTGTGCAGTGCTGCTCCCGGCCGGTGGGTGCTGCTGTGGCTGCGGTGGAGCCTCGGCCGCTGCCTGCCTCTCCCCGCGCCCTTGGCTCGGCGGCTATAAGGCTGGGAGCCGGCCGGGCAGGGGGCTCAGTGAGCGCGGCTGGAAGAGAGGCGCTGCGCGGCGGCGCTCCCTGGCACCCTCCGCGGAGCGGGACGAGCCCCCCTGCCCGCAGCAGCGGGGAGCCCCGGGGCGGGCCGCCAGGCAGCCGGCCCTCCCCTGCCGGAGGGAGGAACCTGGGCGAGCCCTTCCCCAGCCAAGGGGAACCGGCTTTTCCGGGCTGCACCCTGCGTGTCTGCAGCGGGGCGGCTCCAGCTGTCTCCTCCCCCCGCCAGTCCTTTGCTTCTGCACCTTCCCTCGATTGGCCGGGGGCTGCTGCTGCACCTTGGGGCCCCCGCCCTGCCCGCGCCGGGGCGGCTGCTGCTGCGCCCTCTCGCCGCTTTCCTGAGCCTGGCGGGGAGGGTGCCGTGCCCGTGGTTCCGCAGGGTTCTCGCTTTCCTGCCCGCCGGCTCGGTTCTGGTCTTATGGGCTCTTTTTTAAAATCCTCGCCTGGGGGGGAAGCGAGCGCTGCATGCGTGTGGCCCGGTCCCCTCCTCCCTTCCCGTCCCCTCTGCAGCGGCGCCTTTGCGCTGCCCATGACGCGCTGTGGAACAGGCTGCCTCTGAGCTAGCGGGGCCCGGGAAAGATGCAGGCGAGGCGCGGCCGCCGTGTCCCTTCCCTCCGCGCTTTGCCCTTCCTGTTCATTGTGGCAGCTCTCCTGGGTCTGCTGCCCTTGCTTCACAGCCATGGCTTGCAGCACATGCTGACCTCCGAGCCGCCCTACCGCGACCCCGCAGTCCTCAGTGCAATTGAGCCCGGGGATGTCACCGCAGCTCCTCCGGACGTCTCCCAAGAGATTCGCCCGCTGACCAACCACTCCAGCCCTGGGCACTCCAAGCCGCGGAAAGCCTTCCCGGTCCTGGGCATTGACTACACCCATGTGCGGATCCCCTTTGAGATCTCCCTTTGGATACTGCTGGCATGCCTCATGAAACTGGGTACGTTGGCACCACTTTTCTGCATGCCGGGTGGGGGCATGGGGCAGTGCCCAAACTTGCAGGTTTAGGAGTTGGGAGGTCTGGGCTCTCTTCCTGATGAGTATCCCATAAGAGTGGACAGATTGTAGGTCCATCTTGACCAGCATAGTGCCTTCCAGCAATGGTCAATGCCAGGTGGCCCAGAGAGGATAAACAGAACTGGTACTCATCAAGCGGTGCATCTCCTGTTGCCCATTGCCTGCTTCTGCCAAACAGGCTAGGGACACTCTGTGATCTTGGGGAAGTTACTCAACCTTTCTGGTCTGTAAAATGTAAACACACTTCGCACTTATAAGATTTGTTGGTAAAGCTCTCAGAGATCCTTGGATGAAATATGCTATCAAAGTGGCTTCTGTTGACTGTTCTGTTATAAAGAAATTCATATGACTCTTTTAACAATCATTTGTTCCCTATTATTGCTGATCCTCCCTAAAGAGGAAGGATAGCCCAAGGGTTAGGGCTCTGCCCTGTGACCAGGGAAATTTCTATTCAATTTCTTGACCTACCTGAGAGCTTAAGCAAGCCCCACTTAGTAGCTCTGTGCCTCAGTTTCCCATCTGAACCACATTCCTCTTTCTCAACCATGTTGTAGGATAAATATATTAAGGATTGTGAGGTGTTCAGTACTCGGAATGTTTGGGTGCCTGAGTATCTAGATCCCCTGGAGAGATGACTAACTACCCTGAACGGCTCTGGTGTACTGAGTTTCTGACAGCAGATTTCTTAGGACTTCTTTAGCAGGGTTGATACCTGTTGAATTCTCCGAGAATGTGATGTGAGCACGCAGGGCCCTATCCCATGTCAAAACTGGCTTTGGTGTCACGCAGGGGCCAAACTGGCCACTGGGCAGCTGGTGATGCTTGCTTATACTGTATTATGTGGTAATGCCTAAAGCGCAGATGAAGCATTTGCCTGTTCCTGTTTTGGGATGGTTATGTGAGAGAGGGGGAAGAGATCTGCATTTCCTTTATTCCCTTCCTGATTTTCACCATTAATTATTTTACACTTAACACTACTACAGGTTCTCGGGAACTCTGTAATGCGCTGACTCTTATGCCAGGCTCCTAGTTAGCCTCTGAGTGCTGACAGAGAGAGTGGTGCTTGCCCTGGGAAACCTCATGATTGGCTCTGACTGTTGTCTAATGTTCTAAAGGTTCTGGTGTAACCGACCGCAAGGCCTTGACTGGTGTAGGGATGTTAAATATCGGTTAATTGAATAGTCGCGTAACCTCATGAATTCTTATCCGTTACTTGACTATTCTGTAGTCCCTCGGGGTGGGGCCAGCAGCAGAGGAATCTCCTTCAACTCCATGCTGCTGCCTTTGTATCAGAGACATCAGCGCAGGGTGCCAGGTGGGAGCTGGTCTGTGAGGGGAGCCAGTTTAAAAACCCGCTCCCTTCATGGACTGGCTGCCTGTCGCCCCGCACGACTGCCTCTGATACAGAGACAGCAGCGCAGGGTGGTAGTAACCCCTGTCGGGGTGGAGGGGCTGAGCTTCCGGACTTGGCGCAAGCCAGAACAGAGCTGAGTTGCCTGGCCACCTGGCTCCTAATGTACATTAAATGCAGAGCCGCAACAGGCATAGGTCCCAGACCAGTCGAAAGCCAGGACCGAACCAGGCTAATTACTGGCAAGGTGTGGGGAAGGGAAATGTGTGTGGTCTATAGCATTAACCAAGCTTTTGCTTATTGGTTAATCGACTACACTGTTACATCCCTAGACTGGTAATTCAATGTAAACTGCTGATCATTGCCTGAGATTATAGAAATGTCTTTCCCCCAAAAAACTTGGGTCTAGATGGGAGTGTATGTGTAGATATGAACGTTCTTTAAGACTCTTCTGTAGGCCTCTCAATCTCTTATTTGAAACTAGGAATATAAGTGTTAACATTTAGGCCCAGAAGGCTTCCTTGTGTGTGTCTGTGTAAGATCTAGTGGTAAGAGCTGGTGTTGAGAATTGGAACTCCTGGGTTTTGTCTTTCCCTCTCACTCCGACATTTTCTGGGAAAGTCTTTTCAGGTGACCTTATTCTAAGGATATTTAAGGTGCCAGACTAATGAGCAACACTGTAGCTTTTCACTTCATAGCCTAGTCCCCCCTCAGCTGGCCCTTAGTCCATATATTAAGTAACTAGAGTAATGGAGTCCAGTTTTTGGGCTGCATTTATCATCTTCCTTAACTCTGTTGGGTGGAGAAATCAGAAACCTCTATGCAACTGCTGGTAGAAGGGGGTGCTGGTGGTGGTTCTGGCCTTTAGCCTCACAGAACCTGACTTTAATCCAGAGTCACAAATGGCATGCCAGTCACAAAGTGCGCCTGGAGAAACTGGTGTGAAAAGCGCCATGACATGCGGCAGAAATTCCCTGTAAGGAAATGCAACGTGCTGAAGGTGGGAAATGGGGTTAGCGCATTTCTAATTTCCAGTAGGTTTGCTGACTGCCTTCTTTTGTGAGCATCTTCATTTATCAGAGTGATCTACAGTGTCTAGGCAGAGGCTGCAGCACAAAGCAGCTTCTGCTATAGACGTAAAATCCCCTGTAAAATGTTAACTGACTAAACTATATATTTATCTGGTTAGCTGGCCCACTGTGTCATGCCATGGGTCGGGGGGGGGGAGGGCACTGGAGCAGCCCCCGCCCATGGTGCAGTTAGGCTGGAGTACCGTGGGCAGGGGCTGCTCAGGACAGGCGCCGGTGAACTGCTTACCGGTAAGCCTCACCCAGCATCGTTTTCCTTGTGATATCTTTGTGTGGTGGTTTAATCTGTCCCAAAACAACATTGCAAGCGACGCAGTGTCCTACGTGCTTGGGCTAACGGCCCAATCTTGAGGCACCTGATTCCTTGGAATCTCAGGCACGTGCATAGTGGCTGACCTTGGAGCACTCTTCTGGTGACGTGCTTCAAGGAGCCGCTATCTGGCAAACTTCAGTTACCTGACGGCCTGTGAGAATGTAACCAGCTCTGGAAGTGAGCTCTAGTGTGGAAGTGAGCGCTAGTGTAACACAACCGCACTGGTGGCCAGGATCTCCACCAGCCACGTAGACGGGAATTTTTGCTGGCTCGCCAAGTCCTAGCACCTGAAGTTAGGACTGATGCTGACTTATCTACAGTATATTTGAGAGAGTTTGTCCAACTGTTTGTTCGAGAACTCCTCCCTAAACAAGAAGAGCAAGGACCACTACATTCCGTATCCAGCTTCCTCGTATCATAACTTAAGGCAAGGTCAGGGTTTGGTTGTACCAGGAACATGGGACATTCCCAGAATGGGATTGCGTCTCCTAAAACCATACAGAAAAGAGACAGAATCACCTGGCAGATGAAAGAGGCTGGCTGAGGGGCATGGCCGGCCTCCCTCCCTCCCTCCCAGGTGCCATTTAGGGGGGAAGCTGTTCCCCAATTCGTATGGGAACATTGCTGGCTGTTTCCTGTTGTCACTGAGTGAGGAGAAAGTGCACAATTTCCTGTATTTCTCACTCCGGCAAGGGGCAGGGAAACCTGGACCTGCCCTAGCCAGGGGGCTTGCTCCTCTCTCGCTGCTGGAGCTGCAATGGTCATGGAGAGTCACTTTTCACATGGCCCCATGCTGCTGTGGAGAGAGAGGGTTAGGATAGTCCCCTCTTCCCAGGGAAACCTGGATACTGAGCTCCCCGTTCCCAGCGCGTCCCCTCCTCCCCCCAGAGCAATGATATAAATGAAGCAAAACAAAAGTGAATTGAGTTAAGGACCTGAGCAATGCTGGGCAAATCTTCTAGTTTATTAAAAGGGAATTTTCATAAAATCATAGAATACAAGAATTGGAAGGGATGCTGAGAGGTTGAGTCCAGTCCCTTGCCCTCCTGGCAGGCCCAACCACTCTCTAGATCCGTGTTTCTCAACCAGTGGTGCGAGTACCCTTAGGGGTACTTGAGAGAAGTCTGGGGGGTACGTCAACACAACTGAAAAATTGAATTTTTGTGTTATAGCGCTTTATTATTTGTGTACTTTTTACATCCAAAACTTTCATGGCCCGCCCGGCTATGATAAAGTTGTTTAAGCAAACGTATTGCAATGGTAGAAAATAATTTTGTGTGTCTGAAAACTGTGAGGGTACTTTAGTGTTTCTCAACTTTATTTTAAAAAAAAATCTAGCTCATCCCTGAGAGATGTCTATCCAAGGTGCTTTTAAATATCTAGTGATGAAGATTCCACAACCTCCCTAGGCAATTTATTTCAGTGTTCAACCACCCTGATAATTTGGACATTAGGAAAAACTTCCTACCTAAACTTCCCTTGCTGCAATTTAAGCCCATTGCTTCATCAGTGGCCAAGGAGAACAATTTTTCTCTCTCCACCTTGTAACACCCTTTTAGATACTTGAAAACCTCTATCATACCCCCTGTCAGTGAAATGCTGTATATTGGGTTATAGGGGTGTAACTTGAATCTCCTGCTAGGCCCACTCTTGCTTGTGGGAAATGTAACAATTTTGCTTCACCTGTCCAGATGGAGCCATACTTCTGTATAACCATAATAGATTATGGAAACATTGCACCCTGATCTTCATTTGCTGGCATAGTTATATGGCACCTGGCCCCAAGTAAACTAATGGAAACCAAATTATGGCAACATTATTTGCTGTTTGGTAAGTTCTGTGTGTAGATAGGCTCATGATCACCACCCACTCAGGAAGAGATAGTGATAACATAACTTCTAATTAGGGATGTGAATGGGTACCCACATACATGGTTAACTGATAAGCCTGGGCTTATTGGTTAAGGTGCACAGTTACATGCCCTCTCCCCCTCCCCCTTCTCCTCTCCCCTCCCCCCGAAGGCAGCAGGTGGGAAGCCAGGTGGGAGGCGGTGCTCGCTGGAAGCTAGCTTTTAAAATGTCAGTGGTTACACATTTATCTAACTAAATGCATTTTAACATCCCTACTTCTAACCAGTGATTCTTCAGTGCAAAGAATCCTCCATCTGCATG